AAAAGAGAAAAGAAATGAGGCCAGAACCTTGCTGACTTGCCTAAGAAGTAGAGGGAATTAATTAAAATAAGTTCTAATAAATATTTGTTAGATAAATGCATCAAGGGGCAGCTAGGTGATGAAGTGGATAGAGCCCCAGCCCCTGAGTCAGGAGGACCTGAGTTCAAATACAGCCTCAGACACTCACTAGCTATGTGACCCTGGCCAAGTCACTTAACCCTGTTTGCCTCAGTTCTTCATCTGTAAAAAGAGGTGGAGATGGAAATGGCAAACCAGTCCAGTATCTTTGCCAAGAAAACCCCAAATGGGGTCACAGAGAGTAGGATATGACTGAAACAACAACAACAACAACTAAATGCATCTAGAGCCAATTCTTTATATAGTTAACCTTAGCCTACAATTTTTTTCTTTTGAAAGATCATACTTTCTGACATACTGAAAAAACCACTTTGGGTTGCTTTAAGTCAACTACTGATTTCAATACAAAGTAATTATTTTTCAGTTGTGCTAATTCCTAGTTAATAGCTGAATAGAACAAATGTATCTGAGGGAAGGATATTTAATGAGAACAAAAGCGAAATCTCTTAGGATCAACATAGGAAAGCATCTGCTGAACATCAGAGGAAAGTTTAGTAAAAGGATGACCCAGCAGTTTTTCCACGATTAGACCACAAGCATTCACTATTCTATTTAATGATCTCAACATTTAAGGGCTATCACTGTAACTAAATTAAAATCTTACTAATTCAGACTAATTTGGAGAGGCCTGTTTAAATGAGTAAAAACTTGAATTACAGAAATTTTTAAAAGAAATGCAGTTTTATTTCTTTCAAGTAAATCATTAGCTCAGATGCATATAACATAATATTGCCTAGCAGAGATTTGCATAGGAAAGTGTTTTTAATGAATAAGAAAAGAATGCTGTGTGAGCAGTGTGTTGCATTTCCATGAATTTTAAAACTGTATACTTCTTTGTGGATTTTAAATTGTCATTTCATTGGCATAGCAGGATCCTGCCCAGCCAAACCAACACCAGGACCCAAACCCAGGCCTTCCTGACTCTGAGGCCAGCTTTCTATCTACTATCAAAAACTGCCTTTTATTCTTTTAAGCAATTTAAATGGTTCTTTAAAATTCTATGTGTACTTTTGACATATATATATATATATGCACGTGTGTGTATATAAGATTTGTTAAACAATAGTAAATTTCTATTCAACCTCTATTTGAATTTCACAAAATCTGGATTAGTAGAAATAGAATTAATGAGGTTTAATTGTATAATCTTGAATCATTCTAAGGCATCCTGGAATTTTGGAAATCAAAGAGACTTCAGAGATCATCTAGTCAACAATATATGAAAGATTATGGAAAATGAGAGAAATAACACAAGATTAGAGAAGGTTAAAAGTCCTGAGAGCTTGACTTGGATTCATGAAAAAAAATCTAGAATGGATTTTTAAAGAAGTGCTTAGTTAACATGTAGAAAAGAAAGCAGTGATCATAAGTAGCCAAAATATCTTCATCAAGAACTGCCTGTGCCAGACTAACCTTAATTCTTTTTTGTGATAGGGTTACTAATGCTACAGACACAGGTTACCTAGACTTCAGGAAAGTATTTAATAGGCTACGCCATGCTCTTCTTGTGGAGAGATAGAGAGAGATGGGCTATTAGATGATAACACAATTAGCTAGATGCAAAATGAGTTAACTATTGGGATTAAACAGGAAAGGAAGGATATTGGATATACTGGATGATAGAGTCAGGATCCAAAAAAGATCCTGAAAGGCTATAACATTGCTGTCCTAATGACATGAAATTGAGGAGGAATAAATGTAGTCTAACATTTGCATTCTAAAAATCAACTTCACAAGTACAAGATGGGAGGGGGGGTGTGGGGGAGGGGAAAAGCATGATTAGACAGTAATTGTTCCATAAAAGATACAAAGGTTTTAGTGTACTCCATGCTCAACATGAGTCATCAACGTGAGGTGGAAGCCAAAAAGGCTAATGTGGTTTTGGGTAAAATCAAGAGAGATGAAGCATCCAGGAATTATGGGGATTATAGTCTGTCTTCTACCCCAGTCTGACCACATCTGGAGTACTGTAGTCACTTTTGGTAGGCCATTGATAAACTGGAGAGCATATACAAAGGAGGGCAATGAGAATGGTAATGGCTTTTAAGTCCCTATGATTTGAGGAGTGGATAAAGAAATGGGGATGTTGGAGTTGGAGAAGATTTGGCAGGACAAAATTCTTGTCAAGTGTTTAAAAGGCTGCCATGTCAATGAGGGAATAAAATGTTCTGTTTGTCCCCAGAGGGCAGAACCACGAGAAATTGATAGTAAGTGCAAAAGGGCAAATTTAGATTTATCAGAAAAAAATTTCCCAACAATCAGAATGTTCAGAAATAGAATGGGGTGCCTCAAGAGGTAGTGGGCTCCCTCTCATTGAAAGTCTTCAGGTACAGACTAGATGACTGCTTATGAGGTATCTTGTTGTGGGTTGATAAGACCTAAGAAAAGCCAATCAGGGGCTCATGTTTTAGGGAGATCCATGGTGGCATTTCTGAGAATAGCATTAGGTATTTCAAATGCTTAGCTATCATAAGATACTAAGAGCTGGAAGGAATCTTAGAGACTATCTAGTTCAACTACTTTTTACAGATGAGGAAACTGAGGCACAGGAAAATAAAGCCCTTAATCACATGGCTAATAAGTATCAGAGGTGGGATTTGAACAGGCATCCTACCTATCCTTAAATTCAGTACTATGCTATATGCCAAGTATCAAGTTATACGGAAGTCTGTGGTCACTTCGCAACATAAACACATCATATGATTAGATGAACTGTTTTGTTTTGGTCTTGTGTGATTTCATTGGTGCACGGAACTCCATGTACATACCTCCCACTGAAGATCAACCAGTCACCTATAACTTAATTTTAAGAGCATTGCTGGGGATGATGAGAAACTAAATGATTTGACCACGGTCACACAACTAGTATGTATCAGAGAAAGAATTTTAACCCAAGTCTTTTTGATTCCCAGGTTGAACCACCATCCACTACACTCAGTTTTATTTCAGAAAATGTTTATTGAATGCTTTCTAAGCTCGGCACTTTGGCTACCAAGATCAGCTTCAGTTCAACAGGCTAACATTTGGTCAACAGAGTTTAGTGGATAAAATCCTAGACTAGAAATGAGAAGACTTGTGTTCTTTTACCACATCTGTCACTAATTTGCTGTGTGACTTTGGGCAAATCACCAAATCTTTCTGGGACTTAGTTTCTTTATCTGCAAATACAGGAGTTGGGCTAGATGGTGGTTCTTAGCTTGGAGTCCATGAGCTTCAGTTTAAAAAAATTTTTTTATTACTACATTTTTATAGCATTGGTTTAATTTATAATCTTATGCATTTTATTTTATGCATTTGGAAACGTTACTCTGAGAAAGGAATCTCTAGGCTTCACCAGACTGCCAAAAAAGGGTCTATGATACTCACAAAAACAAAAAACAAAACTAAGAAATTCTCAATTTCCAACTTTAAAATCCTACAGTTCCTCTGACCTTGAGTTACTCATTTATTCCTGGATGGTCTTACCCTAAAGTGACCCTTCATTTAGCCTGAGTAGTTGTAGTTTTCCCATAACTGAATTACTGTATTTCCTGCTACCAGTGTAGTCTGAGCTGAATTTTTGAATGATTAGAGTCTATGACTTCCACTAAAGATAATTCTTTAAAGTAACTTAAACTACGTTTTTTATTGTAAAGTGGGAATAATAACAGCACCTACCTGGAAAGGTTGTTATGAGGATCAAATTAGATATTATTTGTAAAGTGCCAATCTAGGATAGTGTCTAGCAAATAGCAAGTGCTATATAAACACTAGCTATTATTGTTACTATAATTAACCAGAAGTTATGATGCCTCCTAGTAACCCACCCCCCTCCAAAAGTACCTTGTATTTATTTTGACTTTACTTATATGTTTATATATTGTTTCCACCAGAGAATATAAGATCTTCAAAGGCACACGCTATTTTATTTGTCTTTATATTCCCAGTGCCTAGCACAGTGCCTGGCCCATAATAAGCATTTCATATATGCCTGTTGGTTGCAGACCATTGCTACCATAGTGGTTCTTAGCCCTTTTATCCCCCTGTACAATGCTATATCTAATGCTGTTCTTCCCTCTAGATCCTCTCGTCCCTTTTCAAGTGTGAGTACTTCTGGGTGGGTAGCTAGGGACCTTCGGTAGAGGTGTAAAAAGCTAGGAAAAGGAGAGATTTTTTTTCAACTTTTAATATTTTTTTTGCTCAATTATAGAAAGAAAAATCCTTTTTCTTTCTTTTCCTTCCCCCCTCAGCTGTTATATCTCTAAATATACCAAATATGATTATGAGCAAACTCTGTTTGTAATACTCTTTACTTTTTTTACATACTCACTTTAATATATTGCTTTGAACTTTACTACAGCACTCCTAAGTTTTTTGGTTTTTAATATTCTTAAACCAATAAAATTGGTTGGGTTCTGTGGACTAGGGTCCTGGTTGCAGTGCTGGGGGACTGCGACTCCGGGTGGAAAGCATCCCTGGGTGGGTATAGATAGGGACGGGGAAAACTACATAGAAAAGTCCTTAAGGAGGGGGAGGGGGGGTGTACGGGGACCTTTTACCACCTTCACTAAGATGGCTCCAATAGGGTCGCGAGGCCCAGTTTCTTCGGCCATGGCAAAGGCAACGAAAATGGATTCAGCTTTCGGGGCGCCTCCCCAAAGAGCATGGGGAATAAGAAAAGTGTATTCGTCCCCATGGCAACGAAACGCGCTTTCTGGTCGTTCGAAACCACCGGAAGGTGGAGGATAAAGGAGGAGCTTGGACGGTGGACTCTCCACGCTTCCGGGGGGGCCTCGAGTCCATGCCATTTGGAGGGCCGCTTCTGAGCTCCTTCTGTCACCCTCCTCCTCACTCCCTCCCCCCCAAGGTGGTGGAGATGGTGCGGTCCAGAGCGGAAGTGGCTCTGCGAGCCACGCTAATCGGGGAAGGCAGCGATGGCTGCCGGCGTACCCTGTGTGCTTGTCACCAGCTGTTCTTCCACCTTCACCGGGGACAGGCTGGTTCAACGTGAGTAGCCGGACCGTCGGACCTCCTTCCGAGACTCCGGGGGTACACACAGGAAATGGGTTCTGGCCTGGGCCCTGATCGCCCTGACCACCCCCGAGGGAATCTCCCTCGCCCAGGCCCAGGAGCCGGTCCCGGGCCCCTGACCCAATGCTTAGCTCAGGCCGCAAGCGGCGCCCCCTGCGCTCCCGCAGGGCCGTAGAGAGCGTGTCCGGGGCGCCCCTCTTGTCATCTCTGTCTCCTCCACTGCTGGCTGGCTGCCTCGGTCCCCAAGGCCTCCTCCCTCCCACTGCCCGGGGTGGGGGCTCTCCTGGGGGAGGGGGTAGCTGGGAGAGAACTGGCCCCACTCCCGAGCTCCTGGAGGGGGTCACGACGGCTCCTTTGCTCCAAGCTGTGATTGGCTCTGCCTTGCCCCAAACTTCCGGGTGGTGGGGTTGCCTCCAGCTCTGGGAGCAGCTCCCTGATTAATGAAACTATTAAGTGGCTATTGATAATGAGAGCTAACCAGGCAGAAACCTGTCCTCTACTTCTTATCCTGAACTGCTGGAGCTGGGTGAACTGGGCCAGTTAAATAGATTGAGAATAGTAGGGTTGGAGGGAACTTTACCCGGTTCTTCTAAGTCTGCCTTCGTCTTCATTCATAATCATCATCTTTAACTTTTATGTAGTGCTTACTATGTCCCATGCACTGGGCTAAGCACTTTAGAATTACTGTCTCATTTGATGCTCTCAATAACCCTGGTACTATTTTCATCCTATTTTATAAATGAGGAAACTGAGGTGAGGTGACTTGTCCAGGGTCACTCAGCTAGTAAGTGCCATCAAATTTGAACTCAGGTCTTCCTGACTCCAGGCCTTGTGTGTGCTGCATCACCGAAGACTAGGGAGACGCTGATTTGTCCAAGGTCACACAGCCAATCTAACTGCCTCCTACCAGCCAGTTCACTGCAATCCTCAATAGCTCAAACTATATAGTAAAGTAAAACTATTTGGCTCTGATGGAAAATATAGTTTAATGGAACAGACTAGATAATCAGAAATAGTGCAAGGGCAAGTCTAAATCAGTAGTACAAATTTGGTACTTAACTAAGGTAAGTACTTTCTTTTAGACAATAACTTCTGGGGAATCCTGAATAGTTTGACAGAAATTAGACCAGTATCTCAACACCATATTTTTAGAGAAATGGACATATTGCCTGAATGTAAAGGTCAGAGATCATTTTTATAAAAAATTAGAGAATGAAAAAAGCTTCCTTTCACAACTATAGTTAGGAGGAGAAACTTTTGTAAGATCATTGAATTTTAGAGTTGGTAAGTATCTATCTCATTTCAAAGAGGAAAAAACAGAAACTCGTGTGTATAGCAGAACTGCATTGAACAAAATTTGGTTGGAAAAACAAAAAAGGATCTAGATTCTCAAAGGAAAAAATGAGAAAATGTATGAATAAAAACATAGTTTATTTCACTCAATCTTATCAAAGACTTAAAACTCTGTGCTTAACATTTCTACAATAAAATAATTGAAATATTAGAATTTTTGCAGCAAAGAAACCAAACCACTAGCTGGAAGACACATAATCCTGGGGCTTTATTCACACAAAATGAAATACTCGATTTAGAGGTTAATCCAAAATAACCTATAAACTTGCTACTCAAAATAACTCTCAGGAGACATAAAACTTAATTAGTTGAAATCATTAAGCACAAAAAGAGAACATAGAACTAAATTTTGTTATTTTGTCTAGGTAATTTAATTTGTATAGTACTAAATCTGTAAATAAATGTTAGTAGTAGTGTTCTTTTTTTATATTTTGTATTGACACAGCCCAGCCAAGGTCCATGAATTTTTCCAATTTAAGTCTTCTGCATTTATTTCTACAAAGAGTATGTTGTAGTTGCATTTATATAAGTAGTGTGTCTGTGTGTGGATGTAGGTTAATTTCCAGATACTTTGTATATGTTTTGTGAGATTTTCTCATTTAAATCCTGACTTTTGCTAATATAGTAAAATAGATAGCTAGGTTGTACAGCTTAATGTGCTTAAAACACAGTTAAATGTTAGCTAGTAGTAGTAGTAGTAGTACAGAAATGCTATATTTTTTGTGGATTTGTTTTGTAACCAGCAAATTTACATACGTGATTAACGAGTTTAGCTTCTTTGCTGAATCTCTGTGGTTTTCTTTGTACATCACCATGTCATCTGCAAATAGAGATAACTTTGCCTTTTATTTACTGATATTTATAGTTTTAATCTTGTTTTGTTATCTTATTATTGTAGGGAGCATTTCTAGGCCAATGATACCTGGTAGTGGGAAAAGGCGCCGTCCTTGCTTTACCCCTTTTTCTGCAATGGAAGCTTCTAATGTTTCTCCATTGCAAATGAAGGCTCTTAGTTTTTAATTACATAAAAGAAGGGTCATCCCATCCATATCTATGTTCATCAAGCTTTTTTTATGTTAAATGAATACTGTATTTTGTCAAAGGTCTTTTCTGCAGCTATTGAAATAATTTTGTGGTTGTCGTTTGCCTTTTTAGATGACTAATTATACTAATTATTTTCCTATTGTTAAACCATCTTTACCACTCTGATATGACTCCTACTTGGTTGTAGTGAATTTTTTTCTGGATATAATTCTGTAGTCTTTTTGAGAAGATTTTATTTTGCATTAGTATTCAATAATGAAATCTGGGTTATAGTTCTTTCTCTGCTTTGTCTCCTTTGGTTTGTGTATCAGGACCATAGGTTTTCTTATGTATGGAGTTTGGTCAAGTATTGCTTATCTTTAATTGTGAGAATAATTTTTGTAGCATAGATATTTTAAATACTTGGTAGAATTTACTTATTAAGTCATCTGATCCTCCCCTTTAGCAGTTTGTTTATGACATGCTTTATTTCTTTTTTTGACACTGGGTTGTTTAAAATCTCTCATTTTTTTGTTTTTTGTGTGTGTGTGTGTGTGTGTGTGTGTGTGTGTGCGCGTGTGTACACATATGTGTATATATATGTGTGTGTGAATTTTTTTTTGGCTGTTTACTCACTTCCTTTAAATTTTCTTTTGTGTTGCCATTAATTGTTCATGGTAGTTTCTGATAATTCTCTTCCTTTACTTTGAATTTGTTTTGAATTTATCTTGCTCACTTTTTATTTTTGTAACATGATTTTATTCTCTTTTGTGATCAGATTATATACTAGTTTAGTGATTTTTCCTTTGGTATCATTTCTGTGGTCCTTTTATTTTTTAAAGTTTATTTCTCCTGTAATTTTCAGGATTTCTTTTGTAATTGTTTTTGGTTTGCCCACTTTTTTTATTTTATAGTTTTCTTAACTACATCCTCTGTTCATTGACCCTCTTTTTTTCCCCATTTTGTTAATATAACTTTTCAGAACTCTTAAATTTTCCTCTCAGGACTGCTTTAGCTGTGTCCCATGAGTTTTGGTTTGTTACTTTATGTTACTTTTATGTTTATTGTCTTTAACATAAATATTTATTGTGTCCATAATTTCTTCTTTTATTGACTCATTCAGTATGTCAAATATTATGTTTCCTTTTTCAGTTATGTTTGTTGTATTATAACTTTTAAAGAATGTTTATTGTTTCTGCCTTTTAACTTATGATTCCTTTATGCCCTGGTACTTGATCCCTTTTGTAAGAGAAGGCTGATAAATATTTGCATTCCTTAATATTCCCATTCGGAAGTAGCCATAAATTAGTTAAATCTAATTTCCCCATCAATTTCCTCAGCTTTATATTCTCCTTTTCATCTTTCTGTTGAATTGATCCTGTTTTTTAAAAAAAATTAATTTATTCTTAGTTTATAATAATCACTTCCATAAGCTTTTGGGTTTTAAATTTTCTTCCCTTACCTTCTCACCTCCCTCCCTGAGACAGCATGCAATCTGATATAGGCTCTACATATACATTCCTATTAAACATATTTTTACTTTAGTCATGTTGTAAAGAAGAATTAGAACCAATAGGAGGAACCGCAAGAAAGAAGAAACAAAAAACAGAAGAAAAAAAGACAAATAGTATGCTTCGATCTGCATTCAAACTCCATAGTTCTTTCTCTGGATGTGGATAGCATTTTCCATCATGAGACTTTTGGAGATGTCTTAGATCCTTGCATTGCTGAAAAGAGCTGAGTCTATCAAAGTTAGTCATCGCATGGTGTGGCTGTTACTGTGCACAGTGTTCTCCTGGTTCTACTCATTTCAGTCTGCATCAGTTCATGTAAGTCTTTCCAGGTTTTTTTGAAGTCTGCCTCCTCATCATTTCTTATAGCACAATAGTATTCCATTACATTCATATACCACAACTTGTTCAGCTATTCCCCAATTGATGGGCATCCCTTCAATTTCCAGTTCTTTGCCACCATAGAAAGATCTGCTATAAATACTTTTGTACATGTGGGTCTTTTCCCATTTTTATGATCTCATTGGGATATAGCCCTGAAAGTGCTATTGCTGGGTCAAAGGTTATGCACATTTTTATAGCCCTTTGGGCATAGTTCCAAATTGCTCTTCAAAATGGTTGGATCAGTTCACAACTCCACCGATGATGTAGTAATGTTCCAATTTTCCCACATCTTCTCCAGCATATATCATTGTCCTGTTTTGTCATGTTAGCCAATCTGATAGGTGTGATGTGGTACCTACCTCAGAGTCGTTTTGATTTGCATTTCTCTAATCAATAGTGATTTAGAGCATTTTTTCATGTGACTATAAATAGCTTTAATTTCTTCATCTGAAAACTGCCTGTTTGACCATTTATCAGTTGGGGAATGACTTGTATTCTTATAAATTTGCCTTAGTTCTGTATATATTTTTGAAATGGGGCCTTTATCAGAGACGCTAGTTGTAAAAATTCTTTCTCAGTTTTCTACTTCTCTTCTAATCTTGGTTGCATTGGCTTTGTTTGTGCAAAAACTTTTCAATTAAAGTAATCAAAATTATTCATTTCGCATTTTGTAATGTTCTCTATCTCTTGTTTGGTCAGAAATTT